TTTTTTTTTGCTCGCTATGGGTACAAGTAGTACTGAAAAATAATTTCTCTATTTTTTATATTCATATTTGTGTATATTATGTGTAAGATTGTTTTTGTTTGTATTATTTTCACTTGCTTAGTTTCATTAAGTATGATTACATGTTCGATGAGATTTCGTTCATCAGGAAGCCAGAACAAGAGCGTTAATCATTTAACAGGCAATGTAAACTATACCTTTATTTATACACCCAGGTCTACTTCTCTGAATAATTTGTTGTTTTAATTAGGTATATTATTAGTAAGCTAAGTTACTTTGGCCATTGAACACGTCTTAATTTGGTAATATTTGTATAGTTTATTTTTTCATTTCCACATTTCTGTTATGTATTGTAATTCGTAACATGATTTAAACAGTGTACTGGAGAATATGAAAATATTCTTACACCGTAGAGTAGTAGAGTAGCTCTGTGTAAATTTGAAATCGAGGGGAAGAAGAGTTTAAGTAAGTGTAATTTCAAGGTTGCCGTAACAACCATTTCCTGCTGCTTGAAATTCATAATTTAGACATTTCACGCAGTGACAGTGTACTGGAGAATATGAAAATATTTTTACACCGTCTAAGAGTAAAGTACCAGAATAGCCCTGTGTAAATTTGAAATCGAGTGCATGAAGTGTTTGTTGAAGTTAGTGTAATTTCAAGGTTGCCATAACAGCCATTTTCCTGCTGGCGCGCTAATCAGATATGGCCGAAAAAGAAAGTGAAGAAACTTTTCGGCCCTTTCCAAAAGTTAAAGCTGCAACAATAGTTTTATTGGAGAATTAGTGAAGAGACAAAATCACTTTGCCGAGTTTGACTATAATCGGGTTCCTATGATTACATGTTACGTGTTCAAACTTTTTTTTAGTACAAAAGCTTGGCAGAAATTTTTCTTTACAATTAACGATGACAGAAGCTTCCGCGAAATGCGATCACGAAAAGTCACGGAAACCGGAAGAGGCAGACATACAATGACACGAAAAAATACTTCGTGCTATAAGTCAAGATAAGTACCGACAACAGGAACTCTTTACTGGACGTCTAAGATAAATTCAGCCATTTTAATAATTGTCCTGGCGTTGAACACGTTCACATCTGAGTCCACGACTTCAAAGTTAATTGTCATAACTTTCCAATTAGTTGTCGACAACCAAAATTGAGTCGACAGCTATCACGGCTCTATGCACAGGCGGCCCAAGCTCACAATGCGAGGAGTTTTTTTTTTTTTTTTAATCTTTATGCGAACGTTCA